GCAAGGACCAGCTCACTCAAAGATTTTCTCAGTGAGGCTCACGCTGGGAGATCAGCACTGGGAGGCAGAGGGGCCCAGCATTCCGCTGCTGCATCGGCTCTCTCTGAGACAACACTTCCCAAGCCCACCATGAGGACACCCCGCAACCCGGGCAGGAACCCAGATGGCATTACGCATACCATGGAGCTGAATGCTCTTTGTGTCAAGCTCGGTAAAAAAGCCGAACTATACACCCATCGACTCGTACCCAGGGATGAGACCGCCAAACTTTAACTACAACGTCCGGGCTCCTGGGCCTTACCAGCGCTCGATGCAACAGTACTACTATCCATTTCCTCCAGTGGGACCAATGATCTACCACATGGAGCTTTCTGTAGGAGGTCAGCAGTTTTTTGGGAAGGGGCGTACGAGGCAGATAGCCAAACACGAAGCCACTACCAAGGCTTTGAAAGTGCTGCAGAAGGAACCTGTACTGCAGCAGTGTCCAGTGATGAACGGTGAACCTGAGGAGGAGAACTTAAACAAATCAGAAATCAGTCAAGTGTTTGAAATATCTCTGAAGCGGAACTTACCCGTCTACTTTGAGGTTTTAAAAGAAGAGGGTCCTCCACACATGAAAAGTTTTGTAGTGCGTGTTGCAGTCGGTGAGTTCGTGGGAGAAGGAGAGGGGAAAAGCAAAAAGATTGCCAAGAAGCTGGCAGCAGCGGCAGTGCTGAACGAGCTGAAGCGGCTGCCCCACATGCCGAGCGTGGAAAAGAAGCTGCCGCGCATCAAAAAGAAAACCAAATCCATCATCAAGCTGCAGACCAGCCCCGAGTACGGCCAGGGCATGAATCCCATCAGCCGCTTGGCTCAGAACCAGCAAGCTAAGAAGGAGAAGGAGCCTGAGTACGCCACGGTTACAGAACGAGGCCTGCCACGACGCAGGGAGTTCGTCATGCAGGTGACTGTGTGTGGCCAGTCAGCAGAGGGGATGGGACCGAGTAAGAAGGTGGCCAAGAGGAACGCAGCAGAGAAAATGCTGGAACTCCTAGGATATAAAGTGCCTCAGCCTCCCAAACCAGCTCTTAAAACTGATGAAAAAACTCCTGTGAGAAAACCAAGTGACGGGCGCAAAGTGACCTTCTTTGAACCGGGTTCTGTGGAGGAGGTGACGTTGGGTTCTAAAGAGGAGGACTTCTGCATGCCTTACCTCAGCCCCCAGCAGCTGCCTGCAGGCATTCTGCCCATGGTGCCTGAGGTGGCCCAAGCAGTCCGAGCCTGCCAGGGATCTCAGGCCAGGGACTACAGCCGAGCTGTGCCCAACCCAGGCAAGGCCACCATCACTGCCATGATTGCCAACGAGCTGCTCTATGCTGGGACATCCATGACCACCGAGACTATCCTAAAGAAGAAAAACAACGTGAACCAGCTGCCCCACGGCCCCATCACCAGGCCGTCGGAGCAGCTCGGATATCTTGCATCTGAGCAGAACTTGCAGGTGGATTACACAGACTTTCCCAAAAACAATATGAACGTGTTTGTGTCGCTGATTAACCGCTCCTCCCAGCCTCCACTCATCAGTCATGGGATTGGAAAAGACGTGGAATCCTGTCATGATATGGCTGCTCTGAATATATTAAAGTTGCTCTCTGAACTTGACCTGCAGTCAAATGAAAGGACAGGAAATGGACCAAGCTCAGGATGCAGCAAACAGGCTAACTCAAGCACATTGGCACAGACACTTGATGGCAAAGCTTAGATCAGGTTTGGTTGTCTGTAAAAGCACGAGAGAAAACTCACAACACACTGTAGGCTCAAACCTATCACTGTTCATATTCATTATTTTTACTAAATGTTCACAGTTAAACAAGGTTGAAAGGAAAATAAAATATTATCTTTGATGTTGTTTAATTGTACACATATAATTTTTTTTATTTCATTTCTTGAAAAAAAGTGGCTGCATCCTGGTCATTGAGTTTGAGGTTGTTGGTTGAAAAATATGATTAACTGTGAACTTTCTGTTTCCTGTTTGTGATGCCCACTGATCCTTGTTTTTAAGTGTTTTACCCCCCAGTGAGAAAGTTTGGAAGGAAAGATTTCTGAAGGTTGGGGCCTCATCTTTGCCTAGGGTGCAGCTGGTTAACCTGTTGATTTTCCTACAGTGCTTTATATGTACAACCAAACAGAATATGTGGCTAAATGTAGCTTGTAATGTACTGTGATGATGTCCCTGCTGTGTGTGGCGGGGACAATCCCCTTTATACCCTTTTCCTTCCTCTTGTCATCTTCCTTTCTCCATCCCCACCCTTTAGAATTTAACTTTTCTGCTTGCAGGCACAAAAAAAAAAAATCTGCTTCTGGACGACTTGCGGGAGAAAAGTCAAGCCTGTTATTCTCTTTAGTGTTTGCCCTGTCCTCCCAATGCTCACCTCCTCTCTGGCCATATTTTGATGATAAAATAACGCTTAGAACTTGTCATCTGAAGCGACATTAAACCACAATTTCTTATGGAGTAATAAAAACAAAGAAAGGGAGCGACGAGACTCTCCTCCTGGCAGTCCTTTATTTCAGACCTCTTCAATCCGCAGTCCCTCCCACCTTATACATTTCCTATCTTGACTTCAGCCCTCAAATCTAGAGCAACTAGGATGTCTCAGCTCCAGTTTTCCTGTCCTGCTAGTCCTGTGCCTGCTGGGGCAGAGGCAGACCGGCTATAGCATCCCGTGTGCCACAGGTGCCCTACAATCAGAGAGTGCCAGTCAGCCCGTCAGGACCTCCGCTCTCCCAGCGGGCTCTGTCACCCCTTATAATACCACCACAGTATCTAACATGGCAAACCCCAAAGAGAAGACACCCATGTGTTTGGTGAATGAGTTAGCCCGTTTCAACAAGATTCAACCGGAGTACAAACTGCTTTCTGAGCAAGGACCAGCTCACTCAAAGATTTTCTCAGTGAGGCTCACGCTGGGAGATCAGCACTGGGAGGCAGAGGGGACCAGCATCAAGAAAGCCCAGCATTCCGCTGCTGCATCGGCTCTCTCTGAGACAACACTTCCCAAGCCCACCATGAGGACACCCCGCAACCCGGGCAGGAACCCAGATGG